CGTTATGCGTATTTGCGTGTGTCTGTGTGTGTGTGTGTGTGTGTGTGTGTGTGTGTGTGTGTGTGTGTGTGTGTGTCTGTGTGTGTGTCAAGGAAACAAGGTAAATCTCATCTAACTGAATATAATTGGTTGGGTGACCTCAGCGTCTTTAAGTCCCAAAATGAAACTACTCAGATTTCTCTCATCTCCCACACTCAAACTCTTGTCAGCGACAGCTGGGAGGAAATGGGTCAGCCAAAGACGACAGATCTTAACCGTCTCCTTGCTGTTTGTGTGTGTTTACTTTAAAGAACAAAAAAAGATAATATCATGTTTGTTATCTTCTCAGTGAATTTCATTCCTATTACAACGTTTCCAAACATTGTGCTGTTTTTCTTGCTTCATTTTAGTCAATATTTGAATCAGAAAAAGCACTTTACATCCTTGATAAACATGCTTCATAATGGCGTCTGTACCATTTTACCACCAACTCTTTTAGATAAGATCCAGAAATATATTCTGCACTTATTTGAGGTCAATAAATAATGTAGATTGCAACCTGGGTTGACTTAAAGTAAAAGCAGAAATTTTACATCGGTAATTGGACAAACAGTTCTGACACCACTAGTGAAAATATTTGTCTGTTGTTTTTTTTGTTTTTTTTTTGTGTAATTATTATTTTTCATTTAGGTTTACGGAAACATTGGACTCTTGTTTATTTATTAATATATTAAATTTAATATTGTAATTGTATTGTAATTAATATTTAATAATGTAATTAATTTACTTAATAGTATTATATTGTGTTATATTATATTATAAGTAATTCTTAATAAATTATTTAATACTATAATTTTATTTAATACTCTGATACTCTATTTATTGTTAAAATGTCATCAAATTTACAATAACCATCATATCATCAGAGTAATTTGAGTTTAATATATAAAAAAAATGTATGGGTAACACTTTATTTCGATAGTCCACTTTAGACATTCTATTAACAGTAAGTAACTTTGCAACTACATGTCAACTAGCAGTTAGTAGAGTATTAGTAGACTGTCTGCTTAATATCTTCTAACACTTTCTTTGTCAACTTATTCTACTAAACCTAAACCTACCCTAACAGTCTGCTCTGAGAGTTAGTTGACATGTAGTTGACATGTAGTTACAAAGTTACTTATAGTTAGTAGAATGTCTAAAGTGGACTATCGAAATAAAGTGTAACCAATGTATGTGCTCTGTAAAAAGTGGCATCCTGCAATTGTTACATTTCTACATTATTTAACCCATAATAATTTTTTTCTTGGCATCATTTGATCTGTACAGGTTGGTTTTATGGAAGGTAAATACAATTTTTGACTTGAATAAAACCAGTTAATTTAGATGTTACAATTTTTTTGTTTGAATTTGAGTTTCTTAGTATTAGCCAGCATAATTTAAGAAAAACTTTTCTACAAAAAGTAAACATGGTCAGTGTCAAATCTGATTAGTGACCTAGAAATTACTTCTCCATCATTTGTTTTACATTTTTATCAAATCCCTACACACACACACACACACATGCTACATTTATTTTCTTTCTTTTTTTTTGGTCATGGGCTTGGTCCAAGCTTTCCAAACGTATTAATACATCTCAGACATGTGATATAGAAGGCATGCCGAGGCCAATAATGACATAAAAGAAATACAACAAAAAATAATTGCTTTTTATAGAAACTTTCCATTTTGAGAGGCACTAAACCAAGACTCATAACTAAGTTGTTAACAGCATCCATTCAAAGACAGTGATGGCTGTGTTCTGTGTCTTTCATCAGAACCTTATTGAGCTGTTGTGGTTTTTAGAGCAATAATTGCATAATTGCATAAAGTCGTTCATCAGGGATTTGCTCTGATTCTCTGTGCTTTTTACTCACGTTCTCTGTTCTTTCTCCCGTCAGTCGTGTGTCCGATGTTGTGTAAGAACGGAGGAGTGTGCGTACAGAAGGATCAATGTCTCTGCCCGCCCAACTTCACTGGGAAGTTCTGCCACATCCCCGTCTCCACCAATCACATCGAGAGACCGGCGACGAGTGCTGTGGATTCAGCCAATCAGCCGATGACGTCTGAGTACATACTGCCTCTGCAGACGCCTGAGCAGGTCAACACCAATGGTGAGAGGATCTGTGTTTTTCAGTAAACATGTCTTACAGCGGATTCACTTTTTTTTTTTAGGTCTTTGCAAAAAGCACTGTTCATTTAATGTTGCATGTTGATTTATGGAGGGGCATGTTGTCACACAATGGGGACCTGATGAATGTCAGTTTGAGAGAAATAGTTTTAAATACCATTTGAATTGCGCTTTTTAAGTTCTACCTGAAGTTAAAAGGCATTTCAACAGCATATCGACATTTCAGATATTTTGAAGCATGTGAAATGGTTTTGACCTTGTGAAAAAGTACTGTGCTTCAAATCTCAAAAGTACAAAAACAGCAATTAATATAATGTTAGTTAAATAAAACGCCACTTAAGTGTACTTGAAGAGAGCATGCACCACTTTCATGACTGTTCCTTCAGTAGAGTTTTAAAAAGTTTTACTTTAGATAATGTTTTGTATTTAAATATTCATAATCTTTTGTCAAGTTTTAAAGAAGTACACTTATTTTGATGTGTTGACAAACATACTAAAACGCATGTAAAGTACTTTATTATAATTTTAACTGAAACGTGTTATTCAATATTAGATTTAAATAATATTGTATTAAATGTTTTTAAATTGCAACTTCATTATTACAAATGTGTAATTAAATCTATGTTCAAAATACGTGACATGCACGCACATTAGACAATAAAATGCAATAAATTACATTTTAAAATACACTTAAATATAACTTATAGCAAGTGGGTCAAATACCAGTCTTAAGTTAAACTAACTGCATTGTAATATACATTTAAAATTCAAATGTATAAAATTAAACTATAGTTAATTTTGATTTGATTGCAATTAACATGCAATTAAATGTCTAGAAACTTGACATTCAGTTTGCATTCCAAGTATATCAAATATCATATATTTTTAAAGTGTATCATTTCCGTAATAAGTATGGTTTTTAAAAGTGTGCTTTTTTTTCACAAGGGTACAGCAAATTTGAACAATTTAAGCAAAATTAGAAAAATAGACCCTATTTTACCAAACACACCCTGTTTCATCAAAACTTTTACAGTGTTAAAATACATCAAATTAGCTTAAGATTCTCATCGAGGGAGGGTAATATGTGTTTTGGCACTGTAGTCTGTTGTGTAACTCATGGCTGCATACGGATCCAGACTCTTGTGATGGTGAAAAATGACGCATGGCGACATTTATTTTCTGTTTTCATTTGGCTGCTGCTCTCGATTTGGATGTGATCCGTAAATGGCAGCATCGGAGTCCTGTGAGGAATTAAAGCAGAAACACGGCTGATGCATCACGCAGATGTCAGTTACACCTGGAATATGTGAGCGTGTGGAGCTTGAATAGATCATGTGTCTCGTGTGTGGGTTTGTTGAGGCAGAATGACGTCAGGGAAACCACCGTGTCCACAGTTTTTACTCTGAAATCTGCTCTGGGTTGTGTTTACTACACAACTCTTACAGAAGGTTCAAACGCTCACTGAGCATTGCAATAAAAGCCTGGAGGTGAAAACAGGGTACATTAAACTTATTTTGTCTTCTGGGAAACATGTAGGCTAAGTATCTACTGTAGTTTATGAAGGGCAGTACTAAATGAAAAAAATTGCACCACTTTCATGACTGTTCCTTCAGTAGAGTTTTAAAAAGTTTTACTTTAGATAATGTTTTGTATTTAAATATTCATAATCTTTTGTCAAGTTTTAAAGAAGTACACTTATTTTGATGTGTTGACAAACATACTAAAACGCATGTAAAGTACTTTATTATAATTTTAACTGAAACGTGTTATTCAATATTAGATTTAAATAATATTGTATTAAATGTTTTTAAATTGCAACTTCATTATTACAAATGTGTAATTAAATCTATGTTCAAAATACGTGACATGCACGCACATTAGACAATAAAATGCAATAAATTACATTTTAAAATACACTTAAATATAACTTATAGCAAGTGGGTCAAATACCAGTCTTAAGTTAAACTAACTGCATTGTAATAAACATTTAAAATTCAAATGTATAAAATTAAACTATAGTTAATTTTGATTTGATTGCAATTAACATGCAATTAAATGTCTAGAAACTTGACATTCAGTTTGCATTCCAAGTATATCAAATATCATATATTTTTAAAGTGTATCATTTCCGTAATAAGTATGGTTTTTAAAAGTGTGCTTTTTTTTCACAAGGGTACAGCAAATTTGAACAATTTAAGCAAAATTAGAAAAATAGACCCTATTTTACCAAACACACCCTGTTTCATCAAAACTTTTACAGTGTTAAAATACATCAAATTAGCTTAAGATTCTCATCGAGGGAGGGTAATATGTGTTTTGGCACTGTAGTCTGTTGTGTAACTCATGGCTGCATACGGATCCAGACTCTTGTGATGGTGAAAAATGACGCATGGCGACATTTATTTTCTGTTTTTTGGCTGCTGCTCTCGATTTGGATGTGATCCGTAAATGGCAGCATCGGAGTCCTGTGAGGAATTAAAGCAGAAACACGGCTGATGCATCACGCAGATGTCAGTTACACCTGGAATATGTGAGCGTGTGGAGCTTGAATAGATCATGTGTCTCGTGTGTGGGTTTGTTGAGGCAGAATGACGTCAGGGAAACCACCGTGTCCACAGTTTTTACTCTGAAATCTGCTCTGGGTTGTGTTTACTACACAACTCTTACAGAAGGTTCAAACGCTCACTGAGCATTGCAATAAAAGCCTGGAGGTGAAAACAGGGTACATTAAACTTATTTTGTCTTCTGGGAAACATGTAGGCTAAGTATCTACTGTAGTTTATGAAGGGCAGTACTAAATGAAAAAAATTGGATATTTAGGCAAAATAAGAAAAAATGTACACATCTTCATTCTGTTCAAAACATCCCTGGCTCTTAATGCATGGTTTTTCCTTCTGGAGCATCAGTGAGCGTTTGAACCTTCTGTAATAGTTACGTATGAGTCTCTCAGTTGTCCTCGGTGTGAAAAGATGGATCTCAAAATCATGCAGTCACTTCTAGAAAGGGTCCAGATATGCAAAAGATGCTCCAATCATCACTATAATGGTCACCCCCAAAAAACAACATAACAGAAAGTTAGAAAGCATTCAACACTACCAAATATCCCACTTGACGTTAATCTCGCACAAAAAAAAAAAAAAAATCTAAACCAATTCCTCAATTACTAAAAAGTATAGCATATGATAAAATGTTTTAGAAGACGTTAGTCAAGTATTTTAGTTACGTCATTCCTAAGAAGCCGAGTGTATCTAGTGTTTACAGATAAACCCTTACAGGACCTTTGACCTAAATGACCTTACAGGCATTTAACCCTAATCTCAATCTGGCAACCGTCGCTCAGTGACATGCCGCAGACTCTGCTCATGGAATGCCGCGTGTTTATTTTTTGAGTTGGTTTATTTAATCAGGCAGTCATGATAAATGTGTTTCCATCTGTCATTGAGTGTCAGGTGAGCTCATGGTTTTGGCAGAGAGACACATGAACAAGCAGACGAAGGCGACCGCTGTATCGCTCCAAAACTGATAAGATACGACAACAACAAAACCTCACAGAGTGATCAGGAGAGACAATGTGAATTTTATTTCAATTCCAGTTGTGTAGAGAGACCTGATGTGTTGATCTAACCGGTGACAAGTCTAGCCTGCGGCGTGTCAGAAATGTGTGATTCGATTAATTTAGCTTTAACTTTTGAAGGGATATTCCAGGTTGAGATTTATCAATTGCATCTCTGGCGTGTTGTCATCACAGACAATCATTCTGGCTTAGCGTTGAAGTCTATTGGGCAAGTTTTCTGGATGGTATAGAAAGTGATTTGATCACACTAGATTCATGTTAGCTATAATATACTCTTGCATTTGTTTTCTTTTTTTATATTGCTGAAAAACTGCTGATATTCAAATAATGTGCATTAGTTCTGAAATTAAGCAGGGCTTCTGGAGGTTTTTTGAAGGCAAGTCTAAGACTTTTTAGTAAAAGGTGTAAAGGATAAATTGAATGGAACACAAAGTCATTATGTCTCTAAATGTAAATACATATTTGTAAATACATCTTCCAAAAGATCTCTTTTTTATCTTTTTGCGGTGTGAAACAGTAACAGAAACAGCAATATACAGTATTGGAAAACAAAAATGTTTGCAGTGCATGCAACATTGAATACCATGACGTTATCCATTTAAGATAATATGCTCTGATTTATGACCTGAAAGCGTGAATTTAAGATCTTTTTTAAGACATAAAGCATATACACAACACAACATGAATTAACATTTTGGGATATGTTTCCCAAAAGCATTCTTAACTAATTATATTCATTCATTACAATATAGTTCAACGAACATTCATAAACCTCATAGTTGGAACCATAGTTAATTCTTTTTTTTTTTTAATCTTTAACATTCTTAAATCAAGATAAATTTACATCTATTCTTGTTTTAAGCATAAATTCACTTAATTGTAATACATTGTTTCAGAAAAAGAGAACAAGAATATATATATATATTACTATATATATATTACTACGTACCATGCAATGGTAGTTAAAAAATAACCAGCTTAAACCTTTTATTTTTTAAGACATAAAGCATATACACAACACAACATGAATTAACATTTTGGGATATGTTTCCCAAAAGCATTCTTAACTAATTATATTCATTCATTACAATATAGTTCAACGAACATTCATAAACCTCATAGTTGGAACCATAGTTAATTCTTTTTTTTTTTTAATCTTTAACATTCTTGAATCAAGATAAATTTACATCTATTCTTGTTTTAAGCATAAATTCACTTAATTGTAATACATTGTTTCAGAAAAAGAGAACAAGAATATATATATATATTACTATATATATATTACTACGTACCATGCAATGGTAGTTAAAAAATAACCAGCTTAAACCTTTTAGGGGAAATGCTACATTTTTTTAATGCTACACTACTTGTATTATTTTCAGTGCAAGGTGCCAGTAAACCCTACAGCTTTCAAACTAAAAAGCACTCATATTGTGCAAGTGGTGGCTTGGATCGGGGTTATGAGCACTAAACACCGTCTGCACTGTTGTGTAACAATCTGAATCCCAAACTGAACCTGGTGTTCCCAGATGGGGCTGCAGGGATGTTCGTCCAAACAAATAAGGCCCATGTTGTGCCTGTCTTTTCTAGGCCTTTATTACCACAGAGCCGTTTTCATGCTGTCTTTAGACCTCAAATCATCTTTTATAAAACACAGACTGGAAAGCGCCGACATTGTATTTAGCGCCTGTTTGGCGAGGAGGGGTTTCTCTCGGAGGAAAATTGGACAAGCGTTTTGCCAGGTTTAATCTGTGAGAGGCGGGAGGTAATGGTGACTCACAGCTCGAACACACTTCAGGAGAATGAGTCTTCTGTATGCAGAGATCCGAACTCGGATGCTCTCTATATCTTTCTCTTTCTCTCTCTGTTATTTCTGGAGCATCGGTCTGTTTATGTGAGAAACAGTACACACGTTAATCTTGCTTTTTCTTTTGCTCTGTCCTGAGTATGTGAGAGTGATTTAGTGTTATTTGCAGGACTAGGGTTCAGTGCATAGAGTCAGAACATGACCTGTGATGCCAGAGGGCCGGATATTCATTAATGTGTGTTAGCAATGACCGTAAAGGCTCTTTGTGATGTTTACAAGCATGCTGTGTGGGATTAAAACTGTCTTGGAACATTTTTACCGTGCCATTATTATTATTCATTTATATTTGCTTTTGAAATTACCCTCACCTGCTGCTGAACAGGTTTTCATGAATCAGGGTCATAACTAGTTGTGGCATGTAGCTTAATTATAAAGAAACAAACAAACATCATGAATGAAGTGTATTGTGTTGCTCTTGTCCCAGATCCAGACTTTCATTCTAAATTATGAAAACCCACCATAAAAAATATAAATTATTGCATGTTTGAAACAAAGAATGATAATCATTATTCATTTTAGTATTTATTATTTTTATTGTTGTTTATTTATTAAGTGCTTTCTAATATTTTTCACATAAACTGCAACCCACAGTTGTGACATCATTTTTATTGCAATGGTTACACTACAAAAAACATATATATTTTCATTCAGAAATTGCACGTACATTATGCAAATAATTACAAAAAAATGGCAAGTAACACATTGAATTAAACATGAAAGTGTGAAGACATTGTAAAACAGTCTAGTAATCTTTGTTTCATTATAACTTCGAAATAATATTTTTTTAAATTGTACTAATAAATAAACAGTTAGTGTACTTATTATCATGCAGACAACAGTGTCAGAAAGGAGCTGCTTGAATGAAATGTGAGACATGTTATGTGTGAACACAGTGTTTTTATTGAGCATCATTTCTAATGAAAGTGTGAAAATGTTATGTAATTGTGTGCATTTAGGATGCATAAAATGCTGGTTATGAGCTTCAGCGAGAAAAAGGAGTCTGCAATTTTATTCCAAAATTGGTTATTTCTATCTCTTTAAATTGTCATAAATTGTAATTTTGCTAATAAACACAGTATGTCGTTTAAATAATTTAACATCAAATTGCATATGACACTGTGGTGGGAATTCTCATTATTTTCACGAAAAAATGAGTAAACTAACCATGTATGTCTACACACTGTTGGATATTGTTAGTGCACACATGTAGTTATGTTCTGGAAGAGCTCTTGATTTCTTTAGTGTGTTTCTGTGTCTGATCCGGTCTCTCTGTCTGTCAGCGTCCCCGATGGTGAAGGTGCGAGTCCAGCATCCTCCAGAGGCCAGTGTGAAGATCCACCAGGTCTTAAAGGTGGGCTTCGGCCCCACCATCCACGAGCACTCAGAAACCGTGACCTGGTCCGCGGGGCTCTCAGGGGCCCGTCCTCACCAGCTGCCGGGAGAGAGAGCCGAGGCGGCGCTGCCGAGGGTTCAAGCCCAGACTATACGCGGGGATTCAGTCTACACCGAGACGTCCGGCTTCAAATACTGCTTCAGAGAAGTGCGCAACGGAAAGGTTAGCTTAAAGCTCTTCTGTCTGCATTCCTCATTCGTTTTAGCAGCAGAGCGTCTGGTTCGGGTTCTAGTTGGAACAGGACTCGAGCTTGTCTGGACTATGCTGGATGAATCGAGTACGACTTGTTTATTGTGACTCTGTCATGTGATCGTGCTGAACTTCAAATGTAGGTTAGCCAGTGTCGTGAAAACCACTTCAGTCTGCTGAAGTGTGTTCATCCAAGATTGTTTAGCCAGAGTACTCTGATTATAGCACAATTCGTCATTTGTTCAAATTCATGTTGCTGGAAATATGCATTTGTTTCTATGGAACACAATAGTAGTAATTCAACATAATGACAAGGCTGCTGTTTTCCATACAACAAAAGAGGATGAAGACCAGAGACGGTCAAGCTCCCCAAAAGGAACAAAAAAGTAGCACATCACCCTTGTGATAAAGAAGTACACTTTACTTTTAAAAAGAGTACTTATGGAAATGAGATACTTTACGAATATACTAAAAGGGCATTAACTATATTCAGTGTTTTCAGACATTTAATTGCTTGTTATTTACAATTAAATAAAAATGTGTAGTTTAAATTTATAATAAATGCAAGAGGGCTTTTTTGACACTTAAGTAGTATACATAATTTCATAATTATTTCTATTGTCTTTAAAATATGTTTAGTTGATGGTTAATGTACTGACAAGAATTCAAGGTAAACTAAAATATACTATAAATGCATTTTTAATGTGAATGTAAATACGTGTGTTATGATGAAGTTGCAGATTAGAACGTTTAAAATATATTAACTTTAAAACGTAATATCAAATAACAGTTAAAAGTTACACGTGCTTTAGTATGTTAGTCAACACGTCAAATTACTGTTTACATCTTTAAAACTCAACAAAAGATTATTAAAACAATATTTTAAAAAAAGCTTTTAATTTGATATTATTACAAAGTGCACTTTTTTTACAAAAAAAAGTACTTAAGTGTGTTGAGTTACAGTCATGAAAGTGTCTCTTTTTGCACTTAAGTGGCATTTTATATTTTATTAATGTTATGGTTTCTGAAAGTATTATTTTTTTTTAAATATACTTTTAAGATTTAAAGTAAACTATACAAGTGCACATTCAACACACTTCTTTTTCTCAAGAGACATGACTGCATAATAAAAGAAGTCAGTATGCAGTAGCATAATATGAGGAATAGATTGAAATTTAAAAGGACAGTTAATAAAAAAAAACAGAATTCTGTCATCATTTACTCACCTTTTGTTGGACACAAAATACACAATATTTTGAATAATTTCAGTAAAAAAAACATCTGACAGTAGCCATTGACTTGCATAGTATAGGGAAAAAATAGCATGGAAGTCGGTGGCTAAAGTCAACATGCTTTGAGCAACATGAGTAAATTATGAAAAAGTTACACTTTATTTTGATTGTCCACTTTAGACAATCTACTAACACCAAGCAACCAGTATTGGGTAAAGTTACTTTTAAAAGTAATGCATTACAATACTGCATTGCTCCCTAAAAGTAACTAATTACATTACTTAGTTACTTTTTATGGAAACTGGAGGTACTTACTTAAAAAAAAAAAAAATCGGTAACACTTTACTTGAAGGGGTGTGCATAAGACTGACATGACACCTTCATAATCATGACATGACACATGTCATGAATATGAAGGAGGTTTTATGCATGTTTATGACAACTGTCATTATGTGTCATTCGCTCAGTTATGACATTTTTAATGCAAATATGACATTATTTGACCTAACCCTAACCTAACCCTACCCTTACCCCTAACCATAGCCCATAACAAAGACATCTCAAACAATGTCAGCTTTGCATTAAAAATTACATAACTGAGTGAATGACACTTAATGACAGTTGTCCTAAACATGCATAAAAAACCTTCATATTCATGACATGTGTCACGTCATGATTATGTAGGTGTCATGTCAGTCTTATGCACACCCCTTCAAGTAAAGTGTAACCAAAAAATCTGATATTTTCTTGTAAATAAAAAAGTAATGTGTTACTTTACTAGTTACTTGAAAAAAGTAATCTGAATACATGAGCATTACTTGTAATGTGTTACCCCCCAACACTGTTTGCAACTGCATGTCATTTAGCAGTCATTAGAGTATTAGTGAGTGTCTGCTTAAAGGATAAGTTAACTTCCAGAATAAAATTGTCTTGATAATTTACTCACCCCCATGTCATCCAAGATTCAAATATTCCAGGACTTTCCTCCATATAGTGGACTTCACTGGTGGCCTACATTAAAATCGTTGGCCACCATTGAAGTCCACTATATGGAGAAAAGTCCTGGAATGTTTTCCTCAAAAAACGTAATTTCTTTGCGACTGAAGAAAGAAAGACGTGAACATCTTGGATGACATTGGATGATTTTTTTTTATCCTGGAAGTGGACTTATCATTTAACTCTTCACTCCATGCCCAATTCAGTTGTTTGAGTGAATGGATAAGTGAAGGATTGTGTGTTTTCTGCTCCGCCCCACAGTGCAGTTCTCCGTTACCTGGTCTGAGGAGTCAGGAGATGTGCTGCAGGGGTGTTGGGAAGGCCTGGGGCATCAACGAATGCACGCTCTGTCCCGCAGTCTTAGGTGAGAGTCTGCTCATGGAGTATGTCAGCACTGTCAGACAGGCCTGGAGGGTTACAACTATAAATCATCTGAGCGATTATAGCTGCACAGTTTGTACTTAGAGCACAAAGAGGCAACAAAACACTGGTTTGTTCCTTCTTAACTCATAAATTCACTGATATCAGTTCAGCTGGCTGGTAAAACACATGTCTATCTTGTAAAACAGAAAGTACAGCAGTCGCTGCGTGACTTCAGGAGATAAATATAGCTTTGAGAGTTCTCTGGCAGACGGCTCATTTAAGTCCTGTTACTATATTATTATTACAACAGTCAAGGTGTCGCCATTAGCCCTCCGTCAGCCGTCTGGCTAAACATTACAACATATTTACATTCCTCATCCACTTGATGAATGCTGCCACCTTTAATAGAAACTGACTTCAGCACCCCTATCATTTATTAAATATAGTGACATGCAATGACATAACCCATGATTTTTTTGGACAAATTCATGCAGATACAAAACATGCAAAACATACAGTTTGTTATACTACTGTATATGGGGTAAGTTGTCACAATGGGATATGCGATATGCAGAAGCTTTATATGAGAAATAGATAAAAATTTAAAGGGATAGTTTACCCAGAAATGATCTCAGGTTTTTTGAGATGTTAATGCAGATCAAAACATGCATGCAGTCTTTATCATGCAGTTTTTTGCAACACTGTGGGGTAAGTTGTCACAATGTGAGTATACAGTATGCATAGCAAAATTAGCACATATAACAACAATTTAACTTATATATATCCATTCATATAATTATGAAACACATTTCATGGAACAATTCATGGAACAGAAAAAAAAAGATGCACAATTATCAAACTGTCTGTAATTGCAATTGTAAAATGGGAGTTAATAATTACATAAATTTATTACAACTTTCCGCAATAAAAATGTGGCATCCTCCCTAGACCTGACATATTGTTTTCTAATAGCTGTTGGATAAATAAGTAAATACAACAAATATGATGATATTGTAAATAGGGGGGGGGGAATCACATTTAAGAGGGTTTTTATAGAGAAAAGCATTTATTAATAATCCAATTGATCAGTGCTATTTTAGTATCATTTATATAATATTATATTTTCGTTGGCCTAGATTTTTTTTTTTTTTTACATTTTAATCTTAGCTAAAGTTTTAATAATTTAGTATTATTGTCATTTTCCTTTTTTCTGTTTTTTTAGTATGTCTATATAGTTTTTTATTGATTTTGTATTATTTTATTTATCAGTTTTAGCTTATTTCGTTTCAGGTATCTTAGTACTTAAAGTTAAACAAAATGAAAATAAGAAATGTTGCCTTGGCAGATAAAAATAGAAATAAAACAAATGTTTTTTGTGTTTAAAACAAGTTATTTTATGTTTTATTTTAGTTTAGTTAATACGTTTGGGACCCATTCTCACCATTAACTTACTATTAACTGTGACTTTAGCCTCAGTAAACTTCTTATTTTCATCTTGTTAATAGTTAGTCAGATAGTTGTTAAGTTTAGTGTCGTGGAGAATAAGCCATGTGCTTTATAAATACTAATAAACAGTCAATATGCTGGTAATATGCATGCTAATAAGCAACTAGTTGATAGTGAGATCTGGTCCCTAAACTAAAGTGTTGCCAGATGTATTTCAAATCAAGAAAATGTGTTTTATGGTTTTAGTTTTAGTTAAAATCTCATAACCTTGTTGCTGTTGTTCTTAGTGCAGAGAAGCATTTGCTAAGGATATATTTTCATAACTGCTAAGCGACCCTGAGTGGTTGATAATGTTAAGCACACGGTTATATAATCATTTTCCCCGATGCTGAATAATGACTGGAACAATAGAGCCGTCTGTTACACGCTTCGGGATCTCTGGCTCCCCAGAGCCACAAATATTTAACCTCACAGGGACAAATAGTTATTTTTCCTTTCTGTGAAGCACTCTGGAAAGTATGCCTGAACTGCTGGAAGACTTTGTTGTGAAACATGCTTTCCCTTGTGAAAAAGAAGTGTACTTAATTGTATTGAATGTGTACTTGGAGTGAACTTCAAATCTTAAAAGTATTTTTTTTAAACTGTACTTACAGATAATATGATATTAATGAAATAAAAGGCCACTTAAGTGACTTAATGAGAGACACTTTTATGGCTGTTTCTTAACAGTCTTTTAAAAAATGCACTTTGTAATAACGTCAAATTAAAGGTTTTCCTTTAAAGTACATTTTCAATCGTTTTAATAATCTTTTGTCGTGTTTTAAGGAAGTATGCACATGTGAAGTGTAATAATTGTAACTATAGTGTGTTATTTGATATCACATTTAAAGTTAATGTATTTTAAATGTAATAAATGACAAGTGTGCAATTACAAATATATTTAAATACATGACATACAGGTATTTTTGGTTTACTATAAATGCAGCACATTCATCAGTAATTTTTACCAAAAAGTTGTTTCAAATTGAAATGAAATTACATATAAAGATGTACTGAAGTCCTACTTAAGTGGGTCAGAAAACACTCTTAAGCTCAATTAAAATATAACTGCAAATTATATGTTCACGTAATTGTAAATACAATGCAATTAAGTGTCTGAAAACTTCACGTTCATTACTTTGTAAAAGTGTACTTCTTTTTGCTCAATGGTTGCCTTATAAATAAACTGTATTTAATGGTGAACTGTAAAGCTATACATTAAGTTACATACAGTATATGCATGCACATAAGCTACATATTCTCACATGTAAGAACAAAGCCAGAATGTGGCTTTAATGAAATATAGTGTCTGGATGTTTTGTGTTATTGTATTTGTTTCAGCCTCTAGTCTTGCTGATGAATCACTTGTTAATTATCTGCATGTTTTTCCTCTTTCTCGGTTTGATTTTCCTTTTGCACGCATTATTAAACTAGCTGCAGTTTGACAGATGTGTCCGTACGTCTTACTAGAGATCGATGTGCTCTTATCTCATCAGGAAACACTGTTAATGGACAGGGAAGCTGCCCGAAAGGCTTCGAGAGGGTCAACGGGACGCAGTGTGTGGGTAAGAGTCCTCGCCCCGTCCTCCTGTGCTAGATTGATCCTAGCGTTCGCAGTGATCTCTCGCCGGCCAAAGCACATTTTAGGAACATGCAAACAAACACTTTGTTCTTCCTTCCTTCCTCCAGAGGTCAGCCAAATACATCAGTCTCTAAAGACGGTTTAATGGTTGCTGCACACATCTAGTTTTGTGTAAATACTGAAACTGAAGCAGATGCTCTTCTCAGTCTCGCTCGTTGTGTAGTTCATGCTGCTTTAATGCTGTGGCGCCGATGTGATAAGTAGACATTGAATTGAGCGTTTTACTCAAAGTGACTAACAAAGCACAATCCGCATTGAGAAGAGGGTTGAAGTTTGCATTTATAACCCATTTTATTGCCATAATGTGCCATATTTCTGAGTGAAATGTGAGACGAGACTATTTTATCTATTGCAGATCTAAATCCCAAAATGGGAATATAAATTGATTGAATACTTTAATAATGCATGTATTATAATTTATAGAAATTTTTTACATAATTTTTAAAATTATAATATAATTAAAATATATGTATGATATGTTTGTTTATTTATTGATTATTATTTTATTTTTATTGATTCTTTATTTATTTTTTATGTTATTTTTGAATTTATTTATTTACATATTTTGACCACCATGGAGTTATTTGAATTACAGTTTGGCACATATCATGTATGCTTCGGTCTGGCTTTTGAAATACATCCAGAGGAGCATTTCCAGCTTAAAAAAAAAATTCCTTACATAGCTGTTAACTCCAGGTTTTCTCACATGGTAGTAATTATGACGGAATGAATCTTTCACAATTTGTCAGTATGTGCGAAATCCAGAGACCACCTTCCCCAGAGGAGAATCTACGGCATTGTTTTCTAATCTTTCTCCTGACCGTAACGGCAGACCAGATGGCTTGATAAACACACTGTAAAATCTATTTATCAAGACAGAGCTGGAGGTGGTCACAGGGTCAAATAATGACAACTTCAGATTTGTTACATATCTCTCTCTCTCCGCTACATTTCCTCTCCTGCTTCTTCAAACCACAGATTCATTCTGTCATTATGTAACATTAATGGTTCCTGTATTTGCAACATTTGATGTAATAACATTGTACACCACAGTGCAAGGTATCCTTATGTAAGTACTGAAAAGTTTGTACGTGCATGTACACTCTTCAAATTAAAAGTCCTCTATTGGTATTGATGGACAACCTTTAACATCCATGGAACCTTTCCACTGGACAAAAGGTGCTTTAAATTATTAAAATGTTCTTCACACTAAGAAAGTTCTTTTAAGAACTGTTCACTGAAATGTTCTTCAATGGTCCTTTTGGAAGCTTTATTTTTAAGAGTGTATCATGCGGAATCACGTTTTCTTGATCATTATTGTACTATATAAGCATACTGTAACTTTCCGGAAAAAATATATTTTATTGAAAATCAAATTGAAAATTGGTTCACCTGTTTGTCTGGACGGGTGCTTCTTGACTCACAATCAGTCTCAGTTATCCATGCAAGTCTACTTAAGTGTGTTAAGAAGTGTGTTAAGCACCACATGAACAATCCAACTCGTCAAGTTATGACAGTCATGTTTCCTCCTCTGGTGTAGATATTAACGAGTGTTTGCAGCCGGGTTTCTGTGAAAATGGGAACTGTGTTAACACCCGAGGGAGCTACAGTTGTGTCTGCAAAGAGGGCTACTTGTTGGACGCCTCTCATGGGATCTGCATCTGTAAGTACGGGGCTGTCGGACACCACGGCGTCACCTGAGAGGAGAGCGGTAGCGGGAATATGGCAGGGCAGCCAAACCACACAGCTACAGCCTTCAGTCATACACAGACGTAAAGAAATAATTCTCCCAAAAATGGAAATTTGCCAAAAATGCACTCACCCTCAGGACATCTGGGCCTTGTTTGCACGGTCAGTTAAATGTGACCCAATTCCGATTTTTTTGCTCGTATGTGACCGAGATCGGATGTGTTCTATGACCATGTAAACAGGGAAAAAAACGCATGCATTCGGATATTTCGAGATGGGTTTCAGGCCTCATTCATATCTGGAAATAAATCAGATATAAATCAGATATGTGTCAACGCGTTTGTCCATTTTGGCTAGTGTGTGGTGCAAGAACCCCCCTTTAAGCATGTGCGATGTTTCAGATGGTATGGCAAGTGTAAACACATTAATCGAATACGGGTCACAATTTAAAGAACGTGTAAACGGACGGTAAAAAAAAATGGTATATAGGCAACAAATCAGAATTGGGCATCAAGACCTGCAGTGTAAACGAGGCCTAAGATTAGGATGAGTTTGTTTCTTCATCAGATTTAGAGAAATGTAGCATTGCATCAGTGTCTCAGCAATGGATGCTCTGCAGTGAATGGGTGCCGTCAGAATGAGAGTCCAAACAGCTGATAAAAACATCACAATAATCCACAAGTAATCCACAGCACTCCAGTCCATCAGTTAACATCTGGAGAAGACAAAAGCTGAAACAAATCCAGCATTAAGACGTTTTTAACTTTAAACCATTTCTTCTTGCCAAAATACGAATTTATAATCCATAATAATGCTTCCTGAATCAGGTGTGCATATATATATATATAAAACCCTTGCTACATGTACTGCATTAGGCTAACCGAGACTTGTCATAGTACTTGCTTATTATCCTCTTTTGTTGGTTTTGATTGCTTCTATTGTCCTCATTTTTAAGTCTCTTTGAATAAAAGCGTCTGCTAAATGACTAAATGTAAATGTTTCTTACAAACATGCAGCTTTTGGCTTCACAAGATATTAACTGATGGACTGGAGTGCTGTGGATTATTGTGATGTTTTTATCAGCTGTTTGGACTCTCATTCTGACGGCACCCATTCACTGCAGAGCATCCATTGGTGAGCGAGTTGCATTTCTCCAAATCTGATGAAGAAACAAACTCATTTGTATCTTGGATGGTCTGAGGTGAGCATTTTCAGGTACTAAACCAAAGCATGAGTTTCAAATCCACACTACAAAGTGAACACAGATGAGTGGAGGTTTTTGGCTGTGTGGCGTTGTGCTTCTGTCTATTCCAGCAGGCATTACTGTGCTCTGCTTGAGAGATGCCTGATGAGTGGAGCTATACTTTTCCCTTTGTCCTGACTCTGCATATGCATCCCTACATCGAGGCCTGTCCTGACTGATCGCTCAGTGTTTTCCTGTGTTTCCCCGTCGATTGGGAGCTGCCTCTTTCTGCCTGAGTTTTTGCATCTGGGAAATTCTGTGACTATTTTAATCAGATTTTCTTCTTGTCTGAATCTTGTCAAGCCTTCATGTGACTCTGAGCATTTTCATGTGTGTCAGTCAGGTAAGTGTAACTATGTCTCCTGCTGTGTCTGGTTCTGTATATGTGTGATTATGTGCATATTCCTGCAGTGATTTGGGCTGATCTGTATGTCATTTCCAGTGGCTCTGTGGCTGATTATTGTATGCCTGGCTCTCCTTTAAACTTTGTTTGTGCTGCTAAACCAATCAAAGTGCCAAGAGCGTAACGAATGATGTCAGTGTAAAATGAGTAGCAGAAATATTTATCACTTTAGAACTTTTTTTAAGCTAGATTTGCGTAAGTATGACGTCAATAACAAACACAACCAACTTAAAGGAATAGTTCACCAAAAAATGATTTTATTAATACCTTTATGGTTACTGTATGCTTTTATTATGGATAAGAGCAGCATGATCATTCCTCTAAACTCCTGCTTTTGTGTTCCGCAAACTAATGAAAGTCATAAAGGTTTCAAACGACACGAGGGAGAGGAAATGATGACAGAATTGACGTTTTTTGAGTGAACTGTCCCTTTTTAAGACAGCAGTAAATGTGAAGACTCATCTATATGCTTTCATGTTCATAAATGAATGCATTTGTACTTGCATGCACGATCTGTTGCATGTTGAGATTCGTGTCCCTACCTGTATCCCTATGTAATGTTATTTTATATTATTTCCCCCCTCGCAGCACAGAAGGTGATCTCCTCGGAGAAGGACCAGTGTTTCCGTATCCTGAACCAGGGCTCCTGTTCTCTGCCCATCCTGAGGAACATCACCAAACAGATCTGCTGCTGCAGTCGAGTGGGCAAAGCCTGGGGGAAGAAGTGTGAGTTATGCCCGTACTTCGGCTCAGGTAAGAGAATGCACTTCTCCTTTCAAACAACTGCATTGGAATGAACATCTTTAATGCAGAAGTAGGGGCAAAGAGCGGTAAGAAGGCTGGAGGACAGCACTGAGAACATTACAGTGTGTTAATACAGAATATTGAAACAACATGATTTGGTTTTTGCACAAAGAGTCCAACTGTTCCTCAAGGACCTCGTCCCACCCACACCACCAGCAATATTTCTCAGAAAATGTTTGGAGGACTTTAATGCAGAAGTAGGGGCAAAGAGCGGTAAGAAGGCTGGAGGACAGCACTGAGAACATTACAGTGTGTTAATACAGAATATTGAAACAACATGATTTGGTTTTTGCACAAAGAGTCCAACTGTTCCTCAAGGACCTCGTCCCACCCACACCACCAGCAATATTTCTCAGAAAATGTTTGGAGGCATATCAAAGCAGTTGGAATTTACTGTGTAATTTGTCTTAGTTTAAATACCACAAGTTGAGGTTCTAGCACTGTCCCGGTTGACCCTCAACGTTTCTGGCTCGATTAAAAAACAAAAATCAACTGTGTCCATTCCAGTGAATTATGTCTTAAATTTTGATCTCACACAAAGCTTAGTGCGCTTTATTGTACTGGATGTGCACTTGTAGTGTATACTTGAAATCTTAAAAGTATATTTTAAAAACTGTACTTGCAGATAATATAATATTAAAGAAATAAAAGGCCATTGAAGTGACTTTAAAAAAGACACTGACTTTATTCCTCAACACACTTATGTACACTTTCGAAAGGCACTTAGTAATAATGACAAATTATTTAATTTACTTTGAAGTACATTTAAAATGATCCTGTTTAATAATTGTTTGCCATGCTTTGAAGAAGTACACGTATTTCCATGCATTGACTAACATACTAAAACACATGTAAAGTACTTGATTAGAATTTGAACTGTAGTGTTATTTAATATTACATTTAAAGTAAAATATATTTTAAATGTAATAAATTGCAACTTCATCATTACAAATGTGTAATTACTACCTACAAATATAAATATTGCAAGTTTAAATTGAAATGACTTTAACATATGTAAATATAAATAGCAATTATAAATGTCCCTTATAAAAAAAGAAGGTTGCTTAATTGTATTAAATGCGCATTCTTCTTAAATCATAAAAGTATAATTTTAAAAACTGTTCTTGCAGATATGATATTAGCGAAATAACTTAGGTGTGCTTAAAGAGAGACACTTTCATTTGTTTCTTAACACACTTAAGTAGACTTTTAAAATTTTTACTTTAAAGAACATTTTAAACTGTTAATGTTTTTGTAATATTTTGTCATGCTTTAAAGAAGTACACTTATTAAATGTGTTGACACTAAACATACTAAAGCACATGTAAAGTGCATGGAATGTGCTGTGTAGTTTGTCTGTCTTTGTTTGAATAACACAAGTTGAAGTTCTCCCGTTGTCCCGGTTGAACTTGAAATTTCTGAAACAAAACACCAATGGACACCAATGTGACACCAATGGACATTTACAGGTTTTCAGCATCTAACTCTATGTTCACAGCCGCCTTCAAAGAGATCTGTCCTGCGGGACCGGGTTACCATTATTCGGCTTCGGCTGTCAAGTTTAACCAGAGGCTAGCTGAGATGCTTGACACCGGCGGACCGCCTTTGGTGTCCGAAAATGTCCGTGCATCCACCCAGGACATAGCATCCCAACCTGAAGGCTCCAGGACTCACTCCACAATCTCACAGTCAACCCGAATCCAGCAAGCGCCATATTCACCGATCAACACGCAGACCATCCGAGTCCAGCAGAGTCCTGCGAGACCACAGCAACCTGACACGGGTTCACAGGCCGGCTCGGTTATCACCATAACTCAACCAAAACCAAACCTGTCAACGAGCGGCGGCTCTCAAACCACAAACGCCAGACATCAGCAGCCTTTCAGCATCCGTCCGTCCGCTCCCAGCCAGCCGGCCAGAGTGAACACACGTGAGCCGCAGCGTTTCTCATTAGGTTATTTATTAAAACTCACTGGTGTACGTGTGTGTGTGATTCAGTCTGATTGTGTACAGCTGTTGTACGGACGCAAACCAGCCGGCCTTCGGTTAACAGACAGCCAATATCTCCCGTCAGACCTCCTCCTGTACCGGCTACAGCCCGACCACTTCCAACTAGACAAGGTAAGCATCAGAGAGACTGGTGAAAATTAAGTATGCTTAATTGTGAACTAAATGTAACATTTTCAGACTCTTAGATGCATGGTACTTACAATTAATGAAAATGTATTGTAGTTTAAATTTATACTAAATGCATTTTTGACCCACTTAAGTGGGATTTAAATACATCTTTATCCCCTGGTTTCGTGTTAATACAGAATATTGAAACAACATGATTTGGTTTTTGCACAAAGAGTCCAACTGTTCCTCAAGGACCTCGTCCCACCCACACCACCAGCAATATTTCTCAGAAAATGTTTGGAGGCATATCAAAGCAGTTGGAATTTACTGTGTAATTTGTCTTAGTTTAAATACCACAAGTTGAGGTTCTAGCACTGTCCCGGTTGACCCTCAACGTTTCTGGCTCGATTAAAAAACAAAAATCAACTGTGTCCATTCCAGTGAATTATGTCTTAAATTTTGATCTCACACAAAGCTTAGTGCGCTTTATTGTACTGGATGTGCACTTGTAGTGTATACTTGAAATCTTAAAAGTATATTTTAAAAACTGTACTTGCAGATAATATAATATTAAAGAAATAAAAGGCCATTGAAGTGACTTTAAAAAAGACACTGACTTTATTCCTCAACACACTTATGTACACTTTCGAAAGGCACTTAGTAATAATGACAAATTATTTAATTTACTTTGAAGTACATTTAAAATGATCCTGTTTAATAATTGTTTGCCATGCTTTGAAGAAGTACACGTATTTCCATGCATTGACTAACATACTAAAACACATGTAAAGTACTTGATTAGAATTTGAACTGTAGTGTTATTTAATATTACATTTAAAGTAAAATATATTTTAAATGTAATAAATTGCAACTTCATCATTACAAATGTGTAATTACTACCTACAAATATAAATATTGCAAGTTTAAATTGAAATGACTTTAACATATGTAAATATAAATAGCAATTATAAATGTCCCTTATAAAAAAAGAAGGTTGCTTAATTGTATTAAATGCGCATTCTTCTTAAATCATAAAAGTATAATTTTAAAAACTGTTCTTGCAGATATGATATTAGCGAAATAACTTAGGTGTGCTTAAAGAGAGACACTTTCATTTGTTTCTTAACACACTTAAGTAGACTTTTAAAATTTTTACTTTAAAGAACATTTTAAACTGTTAATGTTTTTGTAATATTTTGTCATGCTTTAAAGAAGTACACTTATTAAATGTGTTGACACTAAACATACTAAAGCACATGTAAAGTGCATGGAATGTGCTGTGTAGTTTGTCTGTCTTTGTTTGAATAACACCTTTAAAGAACATTTTAAACTGTTAATGTTTTTGTAATATTTTGTCATGCTTTAAAGAAGTACACTTATTAAATGTGTTGACTAACATACTAAAGCACATGTAAAGTGCATGGAATGTGCTGTGTAGTTTGTCTGTCTTTGTTTGAATAACACAAGTTGAAGTTCTCCCGTTGTCCCGGTTGAACTTGAAATTTCTGAAACAAAACACCAATGGACACCAATGTGACACCAATGGACATTTACAGGTTTTCAGCATCTAACTCTATGTTCACAGCCGCCTTCAAAGAGATCTGTCCTGCGGGACCGGGTTACCATTATTCGGCTTCGGCTGTCAAGTTTAACCAGAGGCTAGCTGAGATGCTTGACACCGGCGGACCGCCTTTGGTGTCCGAAAATGTCCGTGCATCCACCCAGGACATAGCATCCCAACCTGAAGGCTCCAGGACTCACTCCACAATCTCACAGTCAACCCGAATCCAGCAAGCGCCATATTCACCGATCAACACGCAGACCATCCGAGTCCAGCAGAGTCCTGCGAGACCACAGCAACCTGACACGGGTTCACAGGCCGGCTCGGTTATCACCATAACTCAACCAAAACCAAACCTGTCAACGAGCGGCGGCTCTCAAACCACAAACGCCAGACATCAGCAGCCTTTCAGCATCCGTCCGTCCGCTCCCAGCCAGCCGGCCAGAGTGAACACACGTGAGCCGCAGCGTTTCTCATTAGGTTATTTATTAAAACTCACTGGTGTACGTGTGTGTGTGATTCAGTCTGATTGTGTACAGCTGTTGTACGGACGCAAACCAGCCGGCCTTCGGTTAACAGACAGCCAATATCTCCCGTCAGACCTCCTCCTGTACCGGCTACAGCCCGACCACTTCCAACTAGACAAGGTAAGCATCAGAGAGACTGGTGAAAATTAAGTATGCTTAATTGTGAACTAAATGTAACATTTTCAGACTCTTAGATGCATGGTACTTACAATTAATGAAAATGTATTGTAGTTTAAATTTATACTAAATGCATTTTTGACCCACTTAAGTGGGATTTAAATACATCTTTATCCCCTGGTTTCACAGACAAGTCTTAAGGATAGTCCTAGACTAAATGCATGTTTGAGCTGTTTCAACAAAAAGTATCTTGCTCTGACATATCTTCAAATATGTCAGTGACATTGTTTTGTCTCAAGATGCACACCTGTAAAGTTTTCTTCTAAGGCATTTTTTATAAAAGCTGCTTAAATATCTTAATTTAACTAAGGCCTAGTCCAGGCTTAAGCAAAGCCCCATCTGTGAAACCGGGCCTATATGTAATTTCATAATTAATGCTGTTGTTTTAAAATATATGGTTAAAGTTGACAAGCATGCACGGTGAACTAAAGTATACAGTACTTTAATGTAATTTCTATTGAAACTTGTATGTCATGTACTTAAATACATTTGTAATTGCACACTTGTAGAAATGAAGATGCAATTTAGTACATTTAAAATAGATTCACTTTAAATGTAATATCAAATACGTACATTATAATTAAGTGCTTAAATGTGCTTTAGTATGTTAGTCAACACATCTAAATAAGTGTACTTCTTTAAAGGATGACAAAAGATTATTAAAACATAATGATTTAAAATGTATTTTAAAATAACAATTTTAACTTGATATCATTACAAAAAGTGTAATTAAGTGTGTTAATAAACATAGTCATGAAAGTTTACATTTGACATATTTTAATTAGTGCTGTCAAATGATTAATTGCGATTAATCGCATCCAAAATAAAAGTTTTTGTTTACATAATATATGTGTGTGTACTGTGTATATTTATTTTGTATATATAAATACACACACATGCATGTATATATTTCAGAAAAATATGTTATTTTATATATTAAATATATTTATTTATAATATAAATTATATGAATATAAATATAGACATGTAAATACATGTAAATATTTTCAAAATATATACTGTATGTGTGTGTATTTATATAAAATATAAAATAAATATACACATAACACACACATATATTATGCAAACAAAAACTTTATTTTGGTTGCGATTAATCGCGATTAATCGTTTGACAGCACTAATTTTAATGTAATTTCTATTGAAACTTACATTTAAATATATTTGTAATTACACGTTTGTAATGATGAAGTTGCAATTTAGAACTATATTATCCTTAAATGTGATATTAAATAACACACTACAGTTAAAATTGTGATTTAAAGTAAATCACAAGTACTTTACTTGTGCTTTAGTATGTTAGTCAACACATCAAAATAAGTGCACTTTAAAGCAAAACTAAATATTGAATTTAATAATGTAATATGTACTTTAAAGTAAATCTTTTAATTTGACATTATTACAAAGTGCACTTTTTTATAGTCTACTTAAGAAACATTTTTTTCTTTAAGTGGCCTTTTATTTCATTAATATAATAGTATCTGAAAGTGCAGTTTTGTAAAATATACTGAAGTTCACGACAAGTGCACATTCAATACAATTAAGCACACTTCTTTCTCACAATAGGATGCTTGTGACTTGAAGGCCCTGTCCCAAAAAGTGCACTTGATGTGGACTTGAGTCCATGAAACTGTTGGACGTCCCATTTGTGATTTTATGATTCAGAAGGGAAAATGGGCTGTTTATGTCCTCATCTGCATTTCTTTACTGAATTTTTGGGAACTGCTTTTCACTGCTGCTCTCAATCTGTTCTTTATTGCAATGTCAGAAATATAGTTTTAGGGCAAGATTTAGTATAAAAGTGAAGATGTTCCTCAGGATATTGGTCTTAAACAAAATGTTCAATCAGACCAGAACTTCAACGGGACAATTACGATTATCGTTACGGTGACTTGATAAGCATAAAGACTCACTGTGAGCATGCCCAGAAAATCCATCGGCCTGCTCATATAAATGACTAACTTCTTTGATTTCCAGAGCTGAAGTGACGCCAAATTCATATCAACCTTAAAAAATGCAAAGTTGGATACAGAACTGTAATTTTCTCATCATTTGTCTTCAATGTGATTGTTCGAGGAATTTGGTTTGGAGAGGAATGAATAAATGTCAGTCATCTTAGGAACACAGCATACTTCTGAGATTGAGTTTGGCTGATCTGATTATCTAAACCACAAATTGAACTGATATTGAATGACTTTACCAAAGATAAAGTGTTTTAAAAGTGTATTAAGTTACATAATGAAATATAAGCATGCACAATTAATTTCATCCCTTTTAATCATGAACAAATGTTAGATAAATAATAATGAAAAATATAATTTTATAATGAATGAACGTGTCATGATATTTCAGAAAGTTTGAATGCGTTGCGTATAGTGATGTTTGTGTAAAATTTTAATACAAGTTATTGAAGTTATTAATAGATAGATAGATAGATATGTAATTACCTTTTAATTCGATTTTAATATGTTGTTTTTTACATTATATTATATATAAAATTATATACAGTATATAATTTTCTCCGTTTTTATTTATTTTGTATTTGTATTTATCTATTTACCTTCTAATTGAATGCTGTTGTTTTTAAATTCAGAATTCTGGCATGAAACTCTAGATGGCGCAGTCCGATATTTCTAACTCAATCTGACCTAATGACATCATTATCACATGGCACAGCTGATTGGTTCTCTCCTGTATCGGTAGCCAATGAGCTCGCTGCTCAACATTCAAATAGATGACTAGTGCTTGCCGTAGCAGTTGCAGCATGCTTCAGAAACCCTCCACCTTCCCCAGCTCCACCTGTATAGATCTGCTACGAGGTGATTCATGAATGCTATATGGGGGTTATTTCGTGTATGCTATATGTGCAGCAGCAGTATTTCTTACACGCTCACAGCAGCATGTTGTGGATGTATTGGCAGTAGCATGTCTTGGTACTTGCTCTGCAGCAGCAGCAGCGTAGCAGATCTATTCCGCCAAGACTAAATACATTAACATTGTCATGTACATTACCATGCCAATCCCTCCGAGAGTTTTCATGACAGAACTGTTTTTTTTGTTTGTTTTTTTTTGGCCTTGTGTGTGGTTCTCCAGATGGCCGAGTGTGTGAATCGAGACCTCAGGTGTGCGGTTCAGGGCGCTGTATTGACCTGCCAGGCGGTCGACACACGTGTGTGTGTAACACTGGATATATCCTCAACCCTCAGCAAGGCCACTGCCAAGGTATGAACCTGTGAGTTACTGCATGACTTTAAAGATGAGAAATAAGCAACACTTCAGACTTCCACTCTAAAGAAGAAAAATATATAAGGTAACATATCTATGTAGCCTACTTCCTAAAAAGGGTTGTAAATATTCAGTCAGGTTCAGTCATGATCCTTCCACACCACCAAATTGCCTGCCATTTGTCCACGGCGCATTTTAGATTGTTTTACGTGACTCACCAGTATTTGGCATTGTTGAAGGATTCCTCTTTTTCTCATTGGTTTTCCGAGGCTTTTAAAGGTCAACGGTCAGGGTGACACTGCTAAGAGGACAGCTAGCTCATTTATCATCTCTGATTTTCAGTGCTGTATCTGTGTGAATTTGTTTTATGCACGTGCATGACTTTATAATGTGTTACTTGCAACAGTAAAAGTCACTTACATTGAGGAAAAGCATAAGCAATTTATCTAAATATATTTTATAAAGGAGCCAGAAATATTAGTAGTATCACGATAAGGATTATTATTGTTAACTAAACCCATGAAAAGTTAACTGAAAATGTTTAAAAAATAAATAAATAAAGTTACATCATTTGAAATTTTGAATTTTTATTTAACTTTATTTAAGCTAGTTGCCAAGGCGATCACATTTTTGTTTAGTTTAAGTACTAAAATATCTAAAATGAATTAAAATTAATAAATAAAAACTATGTAAACATTAAAAAACGAATTAAAACATAGAAAAATATCAAATAAAAACTTTACCTAAAATTAACATGAAAACATAAATTACAAAAATAAAACCTAATTTAAAATGTTAACAAAAATCTAGTATATCAGTACATCAATTATATAAAAAATAACACTGTCCGCGATACTCAGAAGAGTCAGAAGAAATCTATGATCAAACCATCTTATCTTTGTCTCTCTCTTTCTCTCTCTCTCTCTCTCTCTCTCTCTCTC